CTCCAGATCCTGCAAGTAATTAAGCATGCAAGTCATGAGCTGTTATGTTCTTTGGAGGAGAGTGTGGGACAGAGACCCAGAGCTCAGGGACCCCAGGGAGACAGCGTCCAGAAAAGCCCCTGCCCCCCTCGAGAGGCGCAGAGGTTCGACCCGGGGGGCCACAACCAGCAGCCAGCAGAGTCCTGGGAGGTATCAGCAGCAAGTCCACAGGCCCGCCCGCATCCTCCCACCCCCTAGCCGGCCGAGCCCAGAACCCAGCAAACCGGGACCCAGGGGCAACCACCCCTGCCGGGGACCCAGATCCCACCAGGCAGCCACCGGGATTGATCAGGCAGATGCCAAAAATCTTAAACCCCCTGACCCGGGAGCCACGAACACTCAGGCAGACCAAGGCATCACACTTCACACCAAGTGTGGCAGGGGGAGGGGAGACAAAGATGTATAGCATCAAAAGAAGTCCCAGGAGAGGGGAGGAGTCAAAAGCCCCCACCGACATTTACAGTCAGACACAGTCACACACTCCCTCCCTCATGTTCACACATACAACCTAACCCCCAAATTCCACTACCTCCGCTCCGCTCCGACACGAACGCCGGAGCAAAATCGGTCCCGTTGTAGTCAATCAGAGCAATTCCACTACTGCGGCCGTGCTCCGGCAAAAATAGAATCGATCCTATTTTTGCTGGACGCCGGAGCACCTCCGCAGTAAATGGACAGAAATCACAACCGTCCAACAGGAAAAGGAGCGGGCACAACTTCCGTTTTTCACAATACATCGATAAACAAAAGGCGTTTTTTGTTTCATATGCACAGGTTTAACAACTTTTAACAACTATCAGTGGCGGCTGAAGTTTAAATGCACAAAAGTAAGCCATAAATACAGTTTCCACTATCAAAGTAGTCACACTTTGTTGATCCAAACACTGCTGATCGCTCAACACAAATGATAGGCAGATTAAACAGTTCGTTTCGATGCTTCTCCCACACAACGGGTGTTTGGATCTAACTTCCGCGTTTATTGCTCGGACTGTATCGCAAGATCTCGAAAATCCTGCGCATGCTTATTTGCCCACCTCAGGTCTCCGCACCGGAGCGGAGCCGTTGTAGAGCGGGTACCAGTAAAAATTGAGTTTGGAAGCGAGCGGCTGCGGAGGGCGGGGGCGGGCCGGAGCGGAGCGGAGGTAGTGGAATTTGGGGGTTAGACTTACAAAAATGCACGACGGACACCCACTCATGCTCCCCATACACACCCTATTCACTCTGGTCCCGGTACTGCTGCACATGGGGTACAACCATTACCGGTTCCCAGAGTTCGACCCTTTCTGCTGGGTTGCTGATGAGCAGGCTCCGCCCGCCCAATGCTGAGCAAAGCAACCCACCACCCCAGACCCCAACCAGATGGCCAGATCCCCCTCCTAACCTCCAGCTCCGGGAAGCCAAGCAACAACAGAGGTGTGCTAAGACCCCTAGTCTCCCTCCCCCTGCTCCAATATGGTGTTAGTGAGTGTTGATGAGGTGTATTCCATGGCTGTGGTGAGCAGGCAGTGCGGGCATCGTCTGGCCTATGCCAGCTGATGCCACCACACCACCCCACTTGCACCCGCAGCCCTCTTGTGTCTAAGTGCAGTTTAAAATTGGAAGCGGGCACCCGGCACTCGGGATTAGGCTGAAAAATCCCCCTGCCAAATGCCGTTGAATGTGCTCACTCCCAAGGCCCTAAGTTTGTGTTTGCATGGAATGTCGTTGGTGGAAGTGTTTAAGGTGCAAATAAAATGGGGGGCAGATTGCCAGAGGAATGTGGGAATGGGGTCCATACCTGCACCCCCTGACTTGTCCACCCCCCAAGGTCCTATGTGCAAGTTTGTGTGATAATGTGAGGTAGCAGTAGAAAAATGTGTGGGGATGGGGAGGAATGGCTGGTTAGCCTAAGCCCTCCAGGGAGCCATTCTCCCACTGGCCCCACTGGCCCCAATAGGCATCTCTGTTGCCAAAGTGCCACCCGGGGCATGGAGACCCCAGCCCATCTTGCCAGAGCCCAAAGCAGCAGCATCGCAGAGCCCCACGGAGTCCGAGAGCACCAACCCAGCCCCGCCCCAGCAGGATATCTACTCCCATCCCTGCATTTGCACAACTTCCAGAATATATAAGACATAGGACATCCAGGTAAGGTTGGGTCCTCCCCCTCCTGGACATCCCCCTACCCTCTGATGGGACAGCAGAGGAGCCAAGGTCTACTTGAGGCCCCTGTGTAATGTCAAACATGTGGTGCATAAAAGCATAAAAGAAAAAATCAAACCCTAAATTGGTATGGGAGAAATCACCTGCACTAATTAAAGGCTTTATATAAGAATGAAGGGCAAAAATGGCTTGTAGCCCTTTGAGAAATTAACCAAGTTAATCCCTAAAGTTCTCAAACTTAATTACCCTAACGAAAGCACTATAAAAAGATAGCTATGTAAGTGTCTACACTAAAAATGTAAATCAGTGGAGTTAGTATGCCCTGAATGTGAGGGTTAGTAACTCGACTTTAACTGGCTGAAGGCAGTTATCAAATAATTAAACCTCAAAAGTGATCAAATAAAGAGTTGGTTGAATTTGGATCGACATACCAGGTAGTGGAGTCATCCACTTTTAACTGTTATGTTCTGAAATCACATGATTATTGAAACCACAGCAGACCACAGCCAAAAATTCACAAAGTCTGTACGATATGAAGTCCATGCACACACATACTCACAATAGGACACGCGTGATCCGAAATCAGAGAACCCAGCGAGAGCGGACGGAAGTTCACCCCCCCTTTTGGCACGATTCGAGTTGGTGGTCAGCTAAATTGGTTAAAACAATATCTAAATCAATGGGATTTTTGTGCGGTTTAAATTTGGTTTTGTGGACCCTTAGGTAAATGGGAATTTTGTTACCTTTGGAGATCTTAATGAGAAACACGACCGGAGAGAGTGGTTTAATTGCCAGGTTAGAACCTGATCTTTCCTGCGAAAGGTTATTGACCAGTTTACCAGAGGTGACTATTGTGTGACCAGGATTTGGAGCGAACTGTAGGTCAGGATGAGAAGCCCTCAGATCATGAGGAGTCATACTGCCCCCTGCTGGTATCTTATGACCTGTCTGTCGAGCAGAAATGAAAGAATACACAAGAATATTGTTGAGGCTCTGTGAAGCCTGCTTACTAGTGAAAGTCACAGCGCCACCAGACTGAACTGGCTGGAACCACAAGTGATGGATGGACATGAAAGGTATCTGGGGGTCCCCTGGATGTGACACCCAGATGGAACATGTCATTATTACAAATTATAGAACATGTTATTTCGAAAAACTTTCTTGAGAAAGTTTTTAATTTTAGCAAGAAAGTATCTCGTAATAACGAGAAACTTTGTCGTTAAAACGATATTTATATCACGTTTAAACAAGAACATTTCTCGTGATTACGAGATACTGGTCCTGAGTTTTTTTTCCCTGCACTGACGGTAATACGCTTCCGTACTCATGTTTGTTGTGTTTCCAAAATAATTCAGTTTTGTTTTACACAACTTGAACACCATATGGCTTTTGTCCAGGTCCCTTTTCCCCTCAAACTCATAAAAACCTAAGTAATTCCATGCGCTTGCTTTTAATGTTGGCGGTGCTGGCCTAATTCCTCAGTCAGCCATGTAGTCCTGTGCATACTGTAACCTTTCCATCCAAGCACCAGACTTCCTTTTAGCTGAGTTCCGCTTTTAGCGCCTCATCATTAATAAAATTCATTTTTTTACTTTATAAAAATCGATTGATAATCGTTCATGTTCGCATCTCGATACTTCTAAAAAAAAAAGAGTTTATCTTCCACCCCTAGTATATATGTGTGTGTTTATGTGTGTATATATATATATATATGTGTGTGTGTGTGTGTGTGTGTGTGTGTGTGTGTGTGTGTGTGTGTGTGTGTGTATATATGTGTGTGTTTACATGTGTGTATATATGACTGTGTTTATGTGTGTATATATATATATATATGTGTGTGTGTGTGTATATGTGTGTGTTTACATGTGTGTATATATGACTGTGTTTATGTGTGTATATATGTATATATGTGTGTTAACGTGTATATATATATATATATGTGTGTGTGTGTGTGTGTGTGTGTTTTTAAGTGTGTGTTTATATGTAAGTATATATGTGTGTGTTTACATGTGTGTATATATGTGTATATATGTGTATATGTGTGTGTGTGTGTGTGTGTGTGTGTGTATATATATATATATATGTGTGTGTTTACATGTGTGTGTATATGAGTGTGTTTATGTGTGTATATATGTATAGGTGTGTGTTTACATGTGTGTATATATGTGTGTGTTTATGTGTATATTATGTGTGTGTGTGTGTGTGTGTGTGTGTGTTTATGTGTGTGTTTATATGTAAGTATATATGTGTGTGTTTACATGTGTGTATATATGTGTGTTTATGTGTATATTATATGTGTGTGTGTGTTTATATGTGTATATGTGTGTGTTTATGTGTATATGTGTGTGTTTATGTGTATATGTGTGTGTTTATATGTGTATATATGACTGTGTTTATGTGTGTGTATATATGTGTGTGTATGTGTGTGTTTATGTGTGTGTTTATGTGTGTGTGTTTACGTGTATATATATGTATATATGTGTGTTTACGTGTATATATATATATATGTGTGTGTGTGTGTGTGTGTGTGTGTGTGTGTTTTTAAGTGTGTGTTTATATGTAAGTATATATGTGTGTGTTTACATGTGTGTATATATGTGTATATATGTGTATGTGTGTGTGTGTGTGTGTGTGTGTGTGTATATATATATGTGTGTGTTTACGTGTGTGTGTATATGAGTGTGTTTATGTGTGTATATATGTATATGTTTGTGTTTATGTGTGTGTATGTGTGTGTTTATGTGTGTGTGTTTATGTGTGTATATATGTGCATATATAACAAGTAAGCAGAATTACTAATATAATTTCTGTTTCTGTTTTAGTTTACTCCAGAGATTTAAAGTGGATCCCCCTTGGAAACCAGGCTGATGTTTTTGCAGACTTTTCCATCCGGCCAGTGCATGATGACATCCTGATAGCTCAGTTACGACCAGGACAGGAACTGGACATAGTCATGCACTGTGTCAAAGGCATTGGTAAGAAATCTCCAGTTTGGCCGAGAAGATGGTGACGTGAACTGTTTGTGGTTGTGGTGAACGCTGGTGTGACTGCTCACCGCTGCCCGCCTGTCAAAGACTAACAAACTTTTCTTAAGAACTTTCAGAACTCTTAAGAACTTTGTGAACTCTTTGAGAAAACCTTTTCACCTAAGCATACTTAATTTGAAATTTTATCAAGACACTCGGGGCTTTCTTTACCAGAGTGCAACCGACAACTGAATACAATAGCTGGATCAGCGCAAGAAGTCTGGATTTACAGGGCTCCTACCTAGCTCATTCTTGTCTTGTGTCTCCTGTCTGCCTTGATTCAACCGGTTTCCTAGCCTAGTGAACTAGACCAAATTCTTGCTTTCTAAAGAATGGTCTAGGCATGCTCCATTGGAACCTCAGCAGCTCCTACCAGGACTCTGGCTAGCCAATCACAGCTCTCTAGAGGGGTTTCAAACACATAAAGAGCTGTGATTGGTCCATAATGGTGGGCCAATCATAGTGCCCTATCTGCTTAGTGAACAAATCACAGAGCTTTATCTGCTTTCTGGGCCAATCAGGGCACTCTATATGCCTGGTGGGTGGGATGATGCAACAGAGTGAAACAAGAGTATGTCACATTCATTGTCCAGTGGAATGCGGAGATCATTTGAAAGACAACGGTAGAACCCGCCCCACAACTGAGAGCCGTCAATGGAGCATGGCCAGACTAAATAATACATTTATTTAGTCTGGCTTGCCAGGCTACCGGTTTCCAGCTTATACCATTGGATCTACTTCAACTTTAACCTAGGCTGTCAGGGTCTCCTATAGACACAATCTTTCCTAGACATCATCTTTCAGTCCCGACAGAGATATATTCATCAAGGACCTCTTGGGAGCAATCAGCAGGATACTCGAGCACCAATAACCTCCTACTGATCCACTTCTTATCTCTCGCTGAATCAGTCTGGCAGACCTTCGGACCCAAGTGTGTTGGCCAGCTTGGCTAAGGTGGCTGGCGCTCCTGCTCATCTCAGTGAGGATACCATCAACTTTGCTTACCTCAACATTCACTCTCTCACGGGAAAGACTCATCTCATCCAGGATAGGGTTTGGCATCATTTGAATTTGAACAACTCCGGTTCAGATTTCAATTACTCACTTCGATTCCAGTTGCTATCTATTCCCGATTCCGGTTCTTTCAAGAGGCAGGATCCAAAACTTCACATTTTAAATTATACAGCTAACCATAGGTCTTACTTGATGAAATAGTTTGAACTTCAACATGAATTTTAATTCTATGAACAACCTTCATTTAGAAGAAGAAACTATCGTTTATGTTTATGTATTTAGCAGCGAATGTATTTAGCATCCAAAGTGACTTACAAGTGATAATCGGCATGTTGCCCTTGAGGCTAACAACAACAATAACAACAACAATTTGGATTTGGCAGTCGCTCTAGTTTCTTTTAAGGGTTCTGTCACAGCTAACAGCAGTTTCAGTGGAGTGGCCCTTTTTGAACCCAGATTGGTAAGGGTCAAGCAGACAGTTTTGTGAGAGGTATTCTGTGATCTGCTTGAAAGCCACACTTTCAATGATTTTGGACAGAAAAGGGAGGAGAGAGATAGGTCGGTAGTTCTCCACATGATTAGGAGGAAGAGATGTTTTTTTTAGCTGCGGTTTAACCTGAGCATGCTTGAGAGAGGTGGGAAATGTACCGGATGTCAGTGAAGCGTTGATCACATGTGACTGCTGCGGCTACTGTAGGAGCAATAGCTTGGAGCAGCTTAGTCGGAATGGGGTCAAGTGGGCATGTAGTAGGGCGGCTGCACGTGAGAAGCTTGGACACACAGTTCTCAGTGAGAGGGGAAAAAGAGGAAAATGAAGCAGTAGGGCTTGAAATGGTTGGGCTAGAAGGGGTTTTGTGATAGCGAATGTTCTGGAGTGGCCAGCTGAGTAAACTGTTTGCTTATAGCTGCCACTTTGTCAGTGAAGAATGAGGCAAAGGTGTCAGCTGATAGATTGTTGGTAGGAGGTGGAGACGGAGGGGTGGGCAGAGTTTTGAATGTTGAAAATAGTTTCTGAGAGTCAGTAGAGCTGAGAATTTTGTCAGTGTAGAACGCTTTCATTGCATCAGTGACGCTGGCAGAGAATGAGGACAGTAATTCATGAAATTTCAATTGATCACCAGGATCTTTTGCTTTGCGCCATTTCCGTTCCGCAGCTCTAAGATTGGTGCGTAGAGACCGGAGGGTATCATTTAGCCAAGGGTGCGACTGAGAGGATCTAGCAGGTCTAGTGGCTAAAGGGCACAAGTTGTTAAGACAAGAGCCGAGTGTGGAGCAGAGTGACTCGGTGGCTTCATTCACTTCATAAGCAGATAATGTGCTGGGAGATGGAAGAGTGGAGGCAACAAGAGAGGAGAAGTGGTTGGATTGTGGATGTTGTGGCGGAATGAGACCATTGGGGAGGAAGCAGTGGACCTCCCTTGTAGAGTCGTGCTGAAATGGATGAAGTAATGATCGGAAAGATTTAGCGGTGTGACAGAGATTGTGTCTATGACACAGTTTCTGGTGAAAATGAGGTCAAGTGCTTTTCCAGCTTTGTGAGTTGGAGGACTTTGAATTAGTTTTAGATCTCGGAGCTCAGACATTCGGGAGGGACTCGGAGTAGAACCGCTGCTCCTCCGGATCGAAAGGAGTCAGTTGAGGTGGTTAGGGCATCTGGTCAGGATGCCTCCTGGACGCCTACCTGGGGAGGTATTTTGGGCATGTCCTGCCGGCAGGAGGCCCCCGGGTCAACCCAGGACACGTTGGAGAGGTTACATCTCCAATCTGGTCCAGGAACGCCTTGGGGTCCTGCCGGAGGAACTGGTGAAGGTGGCCGGGGAGAGGACGGTCTGGAGCTCCCTAGTTGGGATGCTGCCCCTGCGACCCGGACCTGGATAAGCGGAGGAAGACGACGACGAGTGTTTCTGTCGGTCCTTGTCAGCCACACCCCATTAGTGCCATTTTATGTGTATGACTCGTGTTGCTAGGGGAAGCTGAAGTTGAAGCAGAACAAGAGTCAAAAGGATGGACAAAAAATAACAAGGACGAACACATCCCTTACAGGAATAAACTTCTGAAGGAGGCCAGAGATCAGTGTTTTCACAAACTGTCTACATCGTAGATTCCTACGATCTCAAAGGAAACTAGCATTTCATTACTGCTGAAAATATATTACGTGGGTAAGCGTAGTACTACTTCAACCTATTTATAATCATGTAAAAGTAAAAAACTAAATACATGACTCCACTAACACAGGCGCTGCTCCAGGTTTTACTTTCTGGATAAGCCTTAATTAAACAAGTTATTATCAATATTAGTTACAAGCAGGTACAGAAACATTACCTACATGTATAGGTCGCACTAGACATGTTTGTTTTCATTTTGACCGTCAGAGTTTAAAAAAAGGTCATGATCGTTTCCTCGCATCATTTTCATTTCTCAAATAATAGTAAAAATTCACAATTTAATTTTCATTCATTTTTCATTCATATTTAGTCTAAACATGCTGACCAACGTGTCCAGCAACATACTAATGTTGCAATTAAACAATTTCACTTAAAGTAGGAACATTTTACCAGCTGCGTTCTGGTTCTGCTTCTGGCCAGTAACCCACAGATGCACTCCGAGGCCCTCTCGCTGCTCCCCAGCACGCTGATAGCAAGCTGCACTGATCATTGTGTCCAGGTTTGAGATACTGCCTAGATGTTCTGATAGGAATCTTTTCTTGATTGATTTTTTTTTTTGCCTCCGTGATGTTGTCTGTGCAACGTTTAAAATGTCTGAACACATGTATCCGTTGGGTTAATGCCAGTCTGTCAGAAAGACCAACAGCCTTGAGATTTCTCCGTTGAAATAAATGGCCAAAAACAGAAAATATCCGGATAACGCGATCCCAGCCCACATTTAACTTTATGCCTTTTTATGCATGGCAGCCCTTCACACAACACGACTACCATTTTCTGCAGTTTAATAAGCTCACAACACACAAAGCGACCAGTGCTTCCTTTGCTTATGCACCTAGGTATCCCATCATGCAACGTGCTTCAGCACCTGATACGTCACCTGACGAGGACTGATGACTACATTGTGATTTCTTAGTAAATATTCTATTTAGTAAGTAATAAACTTTATTGTCTTTATCTGAGTGAATCTATAATTGAGTCAGCAGGTAAACTAGTAGTAGCACATTCCATGTCAAAGAAATTAAAAAGTTTTCAGGAGAGGGAAATATGTTAAAGTGGTTAGCAACAGTGTTAAAGCCGATGGCCCCCTCCATGAGGCCACCACGGCAAAGCAGAACACCATTGTAGCTTCTTCTGGGGAGAAAAACACTTAGGGAAAAAATAAAGTTGATAGCTGAAATAGCATGAAATAATGTAATTAGTCTTTTATCGTCTCTGTTTTATAATTTTAGTAATTTTTGCATGCATGTTTTATTGTTCTCTGCTCTTTTATTATTTTTATGTCATGTTCAGAACCTTGGGCTTCCATAAAGGCAGTGGAAGGTGCTGTACAAATAAAATTTTGTTGAATGATTGATATATTGAGCCACTGGGTATCTGGCCACGCACGCAGCTACATCTTCCACCCATTATATAACACCACAGGGATCCAGGAGTCTGTTGCCATTCGTTAAAATGAGTTTACTAATATAATTTTCAAGCTTTGTCAGCGATAACCCTGAAAAAGACTGAATTGAAACAAAATGTTAAAGGGTCTATTCCATCAATTTTTGCAGAATTAACTTTAAAAGTGATATAAACGATTTATAGACAAACCAGTGTTATTGTAATGAAGAAAACTGCAAAAATGTTGGTAATTGTGCAATTGACGCAATGCCTAATTCTTTGTGCAAGCTAGCAATCGTTATATTGCCACCATTTTTCAAGAAAAAATGAGATTTTGGATTCTCAAAGAATGATATTTAAGCCATGTATATTAACTTTTGTTAATAACCTGTAGAGTGCACACAAATGTCAAAATGTTTTTATAATTTATTATTGTTTATTGTTCTCTTTACACTAAGACTTTGCAATCTATGCAACGTTAAAGTTTTTAGATGAAGAACAAGAGTAGACATGACCAAAATTGGATCCTCTTGGCTTTGGGAATTTTTTGATAGCTTTGCCAGTTAAGTGGCGATGGTGTACCCATTAATACAACTTTTTTCCTTATTTTGTCGACAAATGGAGATCTCTGAAGAAAAAAAAACTTTTTTTTCTGCATGTTTATTTAATAATGCAGGTTGAAATGACATTATTAGCTGAAAGAACAAAGGTGCGAGAGCATGCAGGCAGGGAGGACCCAGGTTAGAAATGGCGGACTCAGGGGCGGGGCCGGGTAGGAGACGCGCGCTGGTTGCTTTGGAGCCCGTTCATAACTGCTTTGAGGTCTTGTTAGGGTTCCAAGCCTGAAGGGCAGGGAACCTAATTGTTTTAGTAAGCTTCTCTAGAAGCTCTGGCACCACTGGTGATGAACAAGACAGATAATTAGATGCATGTAATGAGTCCTCTCAAGTCCTTTGGAAATAGGTTTGGAATTTTCATGATGTGTGTGATGTTTTCGTCAAGAGTGACTTCTGACTAAAGTGAGATATGGTTTGCCCTGGGTGAAGAATGGGCCATCATCATACGTGGGTCAGTGCTGCGTATCCACCCCTCCTCCTAAGAAAGGCTGCTGCTTGATGTTGTGTTGGCAGTAAAACATATTTTAGAGGTAGATTTCTGTATCAAACCTGTATGTGCTTCATTTTGTGCTCAGGCAGGGATCATGCTAAGTTCTCTCCAGTGGCAACAGCAAGTTACCGCCTCCTGCCAGAGATCACATTATTGGAAGTGGTGGAGGGAGAAAAGGCAGAGCTCCTGAAACACTGCTTCTCACGAGGTGTTATAGACCTGGAAGATGTTCGCGGTAAGAATTACCCAATAGAGCTAGAGTCAAGTGTTTTTAAAGAATTGGCTTTGTCATGCCGCATGAATTCCCCACACCAGTGTTTACCTGTAAATACTACATCACTATCCTTTGTTTCCTCAGGTAAAAAAGTGGCCAAAGTGGTGAACAGTCGACTAGATACATGCAGCAGAGAAGTTCTCCGACATGTGGATCTAAAGAATTTGGTGAAGCTGGGAAGGGTTCGAGATCATTTCATATGTGAGTTAGGATAAACTCCTAGAAATTACATCTAAGCACAGACATAGAAGCATTAGCAGTTTAGCATATAACTTATTCTAATATCTATGCTGAAATATTTTAGGATTGTGACATGCTGGTCATTTCATTCTAAGTGGATTTGTGTTTAGAATGAGTAAAGTTAGCCTATTTGGGAACAAAATTTTCTTTGAGAAAGTTCTGGAACCGGCATTCTGCAGTAAAGCTTGGTTTATGCTTGACGCATTCACTTTCCGCTTGGTGATGCGGCTCGCGGATGGAACGTGCTTCACAACTCGCAGCGTTTATGGTTCATGCGGCTTGTCTCTGCGGTGAGCCAATATTCTCCCAAACTGTAGGGGGCAGCATGGAGCTCTACGGCATGCATCCAACACTACACCATAGTAGAAGTAGAAATTACTGTTTACAACATGGCACTCCAGCATTTTTTAACAGCGTCCTCGTCTTTTCTGACAGTGCGAGCTATTTCTCTCCAAGAATTATTAACATGTTGATCACAGTGATCTTTGAGAGCTGAATCATACAAATGTCTGTATTTACGAACCTCTGCCATACTAGTTCTTGCCGGTCCGCCATGTTTTTCCACGTCCGACCATCCGCGTGGTTAGAAATTTTCCTAGGTGCGCGGTGCGGAAATTTTGGGCCATGCGGAGATGCGGTGGAGGGGTGTGGTTGTTAAAATGATGCAATTTTGCTGCGCGGAGCCGTGCGGACCTCGCAGACGCGTCAAGCATAAACCAACCTTAAATTATGTTGCTTGTTTGCACCAGGAGTCTGTTTCAGTCACTGAGGAAAGCAATTCTGAACTAGATAAATTACATTTTTGGCAGAAATGTTGTTTGAATGCTGATTGCAGCATGTTACCGTACCGTACCAGCTTTATATGTAAAAACGGACGAAGCACTGCACAAACACAACAACAGCATCAAATGGCGCTTTCACATCGGGACCAGCACGAACCAGACTGGGTGGAGTCGGTTGGGGTTCCGCATCGATAGATTTTCTCAGGAACGAAGAACCCTCCGAGCATGTGGGCGGGGCAAAATACACGCGGAAAAGTCTGTGGTGTCTCCCTTAAACCAATGGTTCCCAACCTTTTTTGACTTGTAGATCCCCGGTGCCGTTTTCTCGTACCATGAGTATCCCCTTAGTTAGTAGACGATTCCACAAAAGTAGAACGTACAACTGATTATTAAACGAAAATAATTTCATTAAATATCCTCAACACTGAACCACATCTCACTTCTCAGGTGAATTCTTTAACTTAAACAATCCTCATGCATGGTCCAGAAAAAATAGATTACGTGTGTGAACTTTCTGGATGTCTGCATTCAGATCCGCACCACAGCCCATGTAAATGCTCTGATTGAACACAATGATTTCTGATCCATGTGAAACTAGACCACATCATTCTGGATTTGGTGTGATCAAGGCATCAGGCTTATCAGTAGCAGCTGCAGCCCTGCTCTGGTTTTTCATTCATGGTGTTTCTTAACCCTGGAAATGAGCTCCCCCGTCCTACAGGTTTTAGGTGTTTCCCTTCTGCCACACACCTGATCTAAATGAATAAGTGATTAACAGGTTTCTGCAGCACTTAGTGTCATCCTGACAAGGCAATGCAAATACATAAATACAGGTGCTGGCCAGTAAATTAGAATATCATCAAAAGGTTGAAGATATTTCAGTAATTCCATTCAAAACGTGAAACTTGTACATTATATTCATGCAATGCACACAGACCAATGTATTTCCAATGTTCATTACATTTAAATTTGATATTCATAAGTGACAACTAATGAAAACTCCAAATTTGGTATCTCAAAAAATTAGAATATTCTGAAAAGGCTGAATATAGAAGACACCTGCTGCCACTCTAATCAGCTGATTTACTCAAAACACCTGCAAAGGCCTTTAAAAGGTCCCTCAGTCTTGTTTTGAAGGCACCACAATCATGGGGAAGACTTCTGACTTAACAGCTGTCCAAAAGACAATCATTGACACCTTGCACAAGGAGGGCAAGACACAAAAGGTGATTGCTAAAGAAGCTGGCTGTTCGCAGAGCTCTGTGTCCAAGCACATTAACAGACAGGCGAAGGGACGGAAAAAATGTGGTAGAAAAAAGTGTACAAGCTCTAGGGATAACCGCACCCTGCAGAGAATTGTGACGACAAACCCATTCAAAAATGTGGGGGAGATCCACAAAGAGTGGACTGCAGCTGGAGTCAGCGCTTCAAGAACCACCACGAGGAGACTCATGAAAGACATGGGATTCAGGTGTCGCATTCCGTGTGTCAAGCCACTCTTGAACAAGAAACAGCGCAAGAAGCGTCTCGCCTGGGCCAAGGACAAAAAGGACTGGACTGATGCTGAGTGGTCCAAAGTTATGTTTTCTGATGAAAGCAAGTTCTGCATTTCCTTTGGAAATCAAGGACCCAGAGTCTGGAGGAAGAGCGGAGAAGCACAGAATCCACGTTGCATGAGGTCCAGTGTAAAGTTTCCACCGTCAGTGATGGTGTGGGGTGCCATGTCATCTGCCGGTGTTGGCCCACTCTGTTTCCTGAGGTCCAGGGTCAATGCAGCCGTCTACCAGGAAGTTTTAGAGCACTTCATGCTTCCTGCTGCTGACCAACTTTATGGGGATGCAGACTTCACCTTTCAACAGGACTTGGCACCTGCACACAGTGCCAAAACCACCAGCACCTGGTTCAAGGACCATGGTATCCCTGTCCTTGATTGGCCCGCAAACTCGCCTGACCTTAACCCCATAGAAAATCTATGGGGTATTGTGAAGCGGAGGATGCAATACGCTAGACCCAACAATGCAGAGGAGCTGAAGACGACTATCAGAGCAACCTGGGCTCTCATAACACCTGAGCAGTGCCACAGACTGATCGAGTCCATGCCACGCCGCATTACTGCAGTTATTGAGGCAAAAGGAGCCCCGACTAAGTATTGAGTGCTATACATGCACATTCTTTTCATGTTCATTCTGTTCAGTTGGCCAACATTAGAGAAACAAACATTTTTTCATTGGCCTTTAGAATATTCTAATTTTCTGAGATACCAGATTTGATGTTTTCATTGGTTGTCACCTATAAATATCAAAATTAAACGTAATAAACATTGGAAATACATTGGTCTGTGTGCATTGCATGAATATAATGTACAAGTTTCACGTTTTGAATGGAATTACTGAAATATTTTCAACCTTTTGATGATATTCTAATTTACTGGCCAGCACCTGTATATACAGTGGTGTGAAAAACTATTTGCCCCCTCCCTGATTTCTTATTGTTTTGCATGTTTGTCACACAAAATGTTTCTGATCATCAAACACATTTAACCATTAGTCAAAGATAACACAAGTAAACACAAAATGCAGTTTTGAAATGATGGTTTTTATTATTTAGGGAGAGAACAAAATCCAAACCTGCATTGCCCTGTGTGAAAAAGTAATTGCCCCCTGAACCTAATAACTGGTTGGGCCTCCCTTAGCAGCAATAACTGCGATCAAGCGTTTGCGATAACTTGCTACGAGTCTTTTACAGCACTCTGGAAGAGTTTTGGCCCACTCATCTTGGCAGAATTGTTGTAATTCAGCTTTATTTGAGGGTTTTCTAGCAATGTGGAGTAAATCTTATTGAATAGTATATTATTAATGTGTGAATATACCGATCAATAAATCATTATTAAATTCCACAAATAGACTTCACTTCAATTTCAGATCTTATTCACTGTTGTGAATAAGATCTGAAATTAAACAGTATAGGAATGAATATTTGTTAACTCATTATTCATTACTGTAGAGCATTCACCATTATTAAAACACTTTAGATTTAAAACATGTAGGCACTGCAGAATATGATTGTGAATACCTTGTAAATTTAGAAAAAAGTTCTGAGCCAGAAAAGATAACTTTATTTAGATAAAGTTGCTTGTATCTTCAGAGGCATTTTGGTATCTTCTGATATGGATAATGCACAAGGTATTTATAAATGACCTGGTGTCAGGTCGACACAACCTGTATGTTAAAGAAAGTTAACGTTCATCCATTTGAAGAAATACAGGCCTTAAGCCATGCTACATATTGCTGCCCCTCGATGTGGAGGAGCAGCGGGTCTACTCTGAGCCCCTCCCGAATGACCGAGCTTCTCACCCTATCTCTAAGGGAGAGCCCAGCCACTCTTCGGAGAAAACTCATTTCGGCCGCTTGTTTCCACGATCTCGTTCTTTCGGTCACTACCCAAAGCTCATGACCATAGGTGAGGGTAGGAATGTTGATCGACCGGTAAATCAAAAGCTTCGCCTTCTGACTCAGCTCTCTCTTCACCATGACAGACCGATACAATGCCCACATCACTGCAGATGCAGCACCAATCTGCCTATCGTTCTCAAGCTCCTATTTTCTCTCACTCGTGAACAAGACCCTGAGATACTTAAACTCATCCACTTGGGGCAGGACCTCATCCCTGACCTGGAGAAGGCATTCTACCCTTTTCTGACTCAAGACCATGGTACCATGGTCTCAGATTTAGAGGAGCTGATTCTCAACCCAGCTGGTTCGCACTCGGCTGCGAACCGCTCCAGCGAAAGCTGGAGATCACGTTCTGATGAAGCCAACAGGACCACATAATCTGCAAAAAGCAGAGACCTGATGCTCAGGCCACCAAATCGGATGCCCTCCACACCTTGGCTGCACCTAGAAATCCTGTCCAGAAAGGTTGTGAACAGAATCGGTGACAAAGGGCAGCCTTGGCGGAGTCCAACTCTCACTGGGAACAAGCCTGTCTTACTGCCGGCAATGCGGACCAAGCTCTGACACTGGTCATACAGGGACCTAACAGCCTGTATCAGAGGGCCTGGTACCCCATACTCCCGGAGTACCCCCCACAGGGCCCCCCAGGGGATGCGGTCAAACGCCTTCTCCAAATCCACAAAACACATGTACACTGGTTGGGCAAATTCCCACTCACCCTCCAGGATCCCCCTAAGGTATAGAGATGGTCCAGTGTTCCACGGCCAGGACGAAAACTACATTGCTCCTCCTGAATCTGAGGTTCAACAATCCGACGGACCCTCCTCTCCAGAACCCCTGAATAAACCTTACCATGAAGGCTCAGGAGTGTGATCCCCCTGTAGTTGGAACACACCCTGCTGTCCCCCTTTTTAAATAAAAGGACCACCACCCCGGTCTGCCAGTCCAGTGGGACTGTCCCCGATGTCCACGCGATATTGCATAGCCGCGTCAGCCAACACAGCCCCACAACATCCAGAGCCTTAAGGAACTCCGGGTGGATCTCATCCACCCCTGGAGCCTTGCCACAGAGGAGCTTTTTAACCACCTCAGTGACCTCAGCACCAAAGATTTGAGTAGCCAACCCAAAGTCTCCAGACTCTTGCTTCCTCACTGGAAGACATGTCGGTGGGATTGAGGAGGTCTTCGAAGTATTCTGCCCACCGATCCACAACGTCCTGAGTGGAGGTCAGCAGCACACCGTCCCCTCTATAGATAGTGTTGGTAGCACATTTTGCCCCCCCCCCCCCCACCACCACCACCACCACCCCCGAGGCGCCGGATGGTGGACCATAATCTCCTCAAAGCCATACGGAAGTCTTGCTCCATGGTCTCACCGAACTCCTCCCATGCCCAGGTTTTTGCCTTGGTGATCACCTGAGCCGCGTTCCGCTTGGACTGCCGGTACCCGTCAGCTGCCTCTGGAGTCCCACAGGCCAAAAAGACCTGATAGGACTCTTTCTTCAGCTTGGCAGCATCCCTGCCCCCTGTTCGGGGGTTGCCACCATGACAGGCACCGATAATCCTGTGACCACAGCTCTGGTTGGCCGCCTCAACAATGGAGACACGGAACAGGGTCCATTCAGACTCAATGTCCCCCGCCTCCCCCGGAACATCTTGGAAGTTCTGTCGGAGGTGGGAATTGAAGCTCCTTCTGACAGGAGACTCTACCAGATGTTCACAGCAGACCTTTGCGATACGTTTGGGCCTGCCTGGTCTGACCGGCATCCTCCCCCACCATCTGATTCAACTCACCACCATGTAGTGGTCAGTTGACAGCTCCGCCCCTCTCTTCACCCGAGTGTCCAAGACATGCGACCGCAGGTCAGATGAAACAACAACAAAGTCGATCATTGAGCTGCGGCCTAAGGTATCCTGGTGCCAAGAGCACATATGGACACCTTTATGTCTGAACATGGTGTTCATTATGGACAATCCATGACTGGCACAGAAGTCCAATAACAAAATACCACTCATTCAGTTCCTCCCAACCACGCCTCTCCAGGTCTCATTGTCGTTGCCCACGTGAGTGTTAAGGTGCCCCGGCAGAACGAAGGAGTCACTGGAAGGAGCACTTTCCAGCACCCCCTCCAAGGTTTCCAAAAAGGATGGGTAGTCTGAACTGTAGTTTGGTGCATAAGCACAGACCACAGTCAGAACCTGTCCCTCCACACATAGGCGGAGGGAGGCTACCCTCTCATTCACTGGGGTAAACCCCAACGTACAGGCACCAAGATGAGGGGCAACTTGTATGCCCACCGCTACTCTGCGCCTCTTAGTGGGAGCAAATCCAGAGTGGTAGGTAGAAATTCCAACCCCTCTCAAGGAAACTGGTTCCAGAGCCAGAGCCATGCGTTGAGGGTAGTCCGACTATATCTAGTCGGAACCTCTCAACCTCACACACCAACTCAGGCTCCTTACCCACCAGAGAGGTGACATTCCATGTGCCAAGACCCAGCTTCTGTAGCCGAGGATCAGACCACCAAGGTCCCCGCCCTCGACTACAACCCGTCACACACTGCACCCGACCCCTTTGGCCCCTTCCACGAGTGGTGAGCCAATGGGAAGGGGGGGCCCACATTTCCTCTTCGGGCTGTGCCCTGCCGGGCTCCATGGGTGAAAGCCTGGCCACCAGGCACTCGCCAATGTGCCCCACCTCCAGGCCTGGCTCCAGAGGGGGGCCCCGGTGACCCACGTCTGGGCGAGGGAACACGGTTTCCATTTATATAATTCATCATTAGAGGTCTTCGGGCTGCTCTTTGTCCGATCCCTCACCTAGGACCTGTTTGCCATGGGTGACCCTGCCATAGGCAGAAATCCTCAGACAACTTAGCTCCTAGGATCATTGAGACACTCAAACCCCTCCACCACGGTAAGGTGGCAGCCCAGGGAGAGACTGTTATTATGTTTAGACATGAAATTACATGCATGCACACCAACATACACTCAAACAGTACTTTGATAACTTCAGATAGCGGATGGAAAAGTCACCCTCCCCTTGTTGCGATTCAAGTTGAGTAAACTGATCTAGGGGTGGTGTAACCATCAAAGCTTGTGGAAACTTGTGAGGTTTGATTTGGTTCCTGTAGACCCACTCGTACACAGGATCTTTGAGACTTTTTGTGATCTTGATCTGATACACGACAGGTGAGAGTTTATCAGTGATTAGGTGTGGACCACTTCAGAAAAAGCTTCTTAGCCGGCCAATCGATTGGCCCTCAGTAATAGTAAAGTCTGATGTTCTATTTCCAAAGAAGTGTTTTTATTTATAATGTAGATGTGCAATGCTGATTTCCACTAGTGCACACACACATTCTCACACAGCCTTGCATGCTTTCTGAGTTATGACTTTAATGATCTTTCTCTTTCTCTAGTCACTGTGGAATCTACTGGTATCCTGCCTCCAGATGTGCTGGTTACAGAGGCCATCCAGGTTCTCATGTCCAAATGTCAAATGTTTCTCAATGAAATGACCTGTACTGACATGGAATAAATGATTGAACGATTTGTCTGGTTTCATTTCTGAACTACTTACTAAATGGTTATAAGATAGACGTCCGGTTGTGGCAGCCAAGGGAAAGAAGTGTTTTGTACTGCTCTGCTGTTGTCAGAATTTTCTTAAAACCTTCTCTTTTGCAACAAAGTTCAACATTAATGCACTTGTGTGGACAGAATAATGCCTACAGCAGAAGAGCTGGCCAAGAAGTACGTGGAAAACCCTGGACCTGAGCTGCAATGTACAGGAAGTCCTGCTGATTTCCAACAGTTGGCTGGTCTCATTTGTTCATCAGAACTTGCGCAGCTTATTACCAAAGATGGATATGGTCAGAAGCTGAATTAAATCAACAGCTGCAGATGTTATAATTTCTGAAACTTGGCTGACTAAACTCATAACTGAGGATACTAACATACAATGTTTATCATTGGAACCGGTTCCAACTGTTCATTATTCCCGGAATCGCTCAACGTTTTTTATTTCGATTCCTAGTGTGCCGACGGAAGAGGAGTCCGCGGCCGATCTCCGTGAAAAATAAACGTGATCTGCAAAGTGTGATCAACGCTTTTCAGAGCTGATCACACCAGCTGTCTGTGTGCAGCACCGAAGCCCCCCTCCCAGCCCCCACCCCGCATGCAGCGGCCAAATCTAAACAAATGCGTCTGCCGAAATTTTACTCCGTAACGTAAACTTCAACTCCTGCAGCGTAGAGGAAACTTGTTAAAAGACGTCAACACGGTGGATTTAATAGAAGCTTTAAAGAACAAACTCTGGACGGTTTGAGGTGAGTTTGTCTCACTGCAGAAATAAAAACACACACGGAGTGTCAGCAGTCAGACACGTGAGCGTCAGAAGGCTGAACAATAACCTGTAGAATAATTAAAGTCATCATGCTAGAGCAGCTTTCTCTGTGGTGGACCACACCAGCTTCTGCCACAATAAATAATTATAATAATAATAAATCACACACAAAGTTGTGAACAATTTAATTTCCTTTCTGAACTATTTCTGTTGAGTTTTAATGTTTAAAATCTGTTAGGTTGTTACTGACAGCAGCTGCATTTAAGTTTCACTTTCTGTTCTGACTGAATGCTGCTGCAGCATGGAGGTGTAGTTCTCAGTCATCCTGGACATGATCATCCTGACAGTTTTAGCTGAAAACAGCTGGATGTTTCTGGATATGTTGGAGACATTTAGCCTCTCATCCCAGAGGCTTCTTCTAGACTTTGGTTGTGGTCAGAAACAAACACACTGGTTGTGCTGCAAGTCTTCTTTTTGTCTCCAAAACATGTTTTTGTCTAAATGAAGGTGATGTTGTTGTTCATAGAATTAAAATTCATGTTGATGTTAAGATTATTTCATCAAGTAGGACCTGTGGTTAGCTGGCTCATGTAAAGCATGTCACGTCTTGAAAGAATCGGGAATCGATGGGAACCGAAATCGAAACGAGCGATTGGAATAGAGCTCCGGGAGTTGACGTCACTTCTCCCGGCATGCAACAGTTCAAATCGAAACGGCGCCATCTTGGCAGGTAGAAGCCCGCAGCTGGACTATTTGTTATTGTCAGAAAACTCAATCAGACAGGAAATATGGTAGATTCCTGTTGTGCCCCAGGATGCAGAACAGACACGGACGACATAAGGAATGAGTCATCTACGGGATTCCCCAAGATCCGGAGCGCCGCAAACGTTGGATGATTGTAATAAAACGCACTAGTGACCGGGCTAAAATGAAGCTGTGGGATCCCGAGAGTAAAGGTTTTTGCTTATGCAGCGACCACTTCATATCAGGTACTTAAACCAACGTTTCCTCAACTGTATATGGTATTTATTTTAAATGCTTTTATTACGATTCTTAGTGGGCTTCCTAAACTTATTTTGGCGTGGCTTTTTCTGTCTTATTACTCATAGCAGCAAGTAAACGTCACGTAAAACGTTGCCTCGTGATTTCTGCGTGCTGCCGTTTACGTGTTTTATGATCACAGCAATTAACCGGCTAAGCTGTATTTAATTTTTAAGCAATGGTTGATCAATTGTCAGATCACACATAAAAAGCACTTTGGATTGCTATTATCTGTCTCACCAAGACAGATCTCAGACAGATCCTGAGACGTTCCTGCCTGACATTTTTATTTTATTCACGGAAAACAAACTAGTGATTTCTCTTGGCGTTCAGTTTATACATTCAAACAGCACAGCACTCTATTTAAACTACTTACATGTAAATCTGTTATTTGTCCATCCATTTTCATCCGCGTATCCGGAGTCGGGTTGCGGGGGCATGTAGCGTTGAGAGGCCCAGACTTCCCTCTCCCCAGCCACCTGAGCCAGCTCTTCCGGGTAAATCCCAAGGGGTTTCCCAGCCAGGTCCGGTAAGAAGTCCGCTCCGACAGCTTCTGGCGTCGGAGCGGGCAGTAGCGTCGAGAGGCCCAGACTTCCCTCTCCCCAGCCGCCTCTCCTTCGGGGGAATCCCAAGGGGTTCCCCGGCCAGGTCCGGTAAGAAGTCCGCTCCGACAGCTTCTGGCGTTTTAAAAAAGTATCCCAGGGGCACGGTAAGGGTCGGAGATGTTTAGTCTATTTAATTTCTGACTATATAAAACGATTTCTTCGGTTTTAAAGTGTGAAGTAAACTCCGACGAAGTAAAATCCAAGCCGATCCCGTTCGCGTTCATGTTTACATCCGTGTTTGTTTAGATTATTTTACCTGCCAATATGGGGTCTACTAACTGAGAGTCACGTGGGGTTCGGAGCTCTATAGGAATCAGAATCGTTCAAAATCAAACGTTGCCCAACCCTACCATGTCCTTGAGGATACCGGGTCCTGGCAGAAACCACAAATCGTTGAATAATCCCAGAGACCCTAAGGACTCAGTAGGGGAAGAAAAGGCTAGTTCCCAGGCATGGAGCATCAGGAGTGTGGAAAAGCAAACCCCCACACTGGAGAATACTCAATAGTAATCCAAACAGGAAATAGCAATCCCACTTAGCGGAATCTGTAGGCAGGAAGCAGATGAGCAGGAACAGACCAGACAGGAAAACCATAGGACGTCCGGAACCAGAACCCAGAGCAGCAGAACCAGGTGATGACGCACAGGTGTTATCCCAGGAAGCGAGGACATCTAGCGAAACTCAACAGAGAAGCAGAGCGCACACACACAGGGCACTTGAATGTAGACACACATATGACATCTGATGCAAAACAACAAATGAAAGAAACCTAGTACTATACATACCTGTATGTGCTATGTGAATGCAGATTATGTGAAAATAGTCAGATGAAAGAAATGTATGCAGTACCGATGTGTACTGAAGTGTTGCAAAAAGAACAAAATAAACAAAACCCTACAATATATGCAGTGGCGGCTGGTGAAAAATATTTTTGGTGGGGCTGTGCTATTTTTTATTTTTAAACAAACTTGTGCTTTCTGAGCTTTGTGCACGACTTCACTATTTCCTGAATTACGCACAGCTCTTTTATTTCCTGTCTTACATCATTGGACAAACTTAATCCAGGTGGGTCTGACTATTGGCACGCTGCCTTGCGGACCAAGGTTGAAAAATACTGCATTAAATTGCACATAAAATAACACGACCATAAATGGTAAATAGGCAATGCAAGAGGCAAGTAACAAAAACATTTTGTTTAATTTCAACATTTGAGTGAACACAAAAAATTATGAGCAGGTCACTGTTACAGTAATGGTAGTAAACACCACTTAGACAAAATGCCAGAAATTTACACTGTTAAATATTTCTGGAGTGTTGTGCTAAGGTCAACTTTATACAAAGATCAAGTGGATGCATTTGTGTGTGTGTGATACCTCATTTGTACAGAAATGTTGCCCATTTGTCCTTCTGAGTGGCAAAGCTCTCGATGAGCTTTTTATTGAAGTCAGGAATGTTTGTGACAAGCTTTTTTTTCCATGGAGAGCATGGCAAGAGCATTCAGCCCATCCTGTGTCATGGTGTTCCTCAAGGAAAGCCTTAATCCTCTTTAAAGTAGAAAAGCACCTTTCTGATTCGGCTGTGGTCATGGGTGTGGTGACAAGAATCTTCTTTTGCATGGCTCAGGATGGTGTGAAAAACCTGTCATATGATAAATAAAAAACAACAGATAAGTACATAGGAAACACTTTAATAGGAAATATTGTCATCAGTATCCTCTTACAAATGTCATATTTCCCAGTTTTTGGGACAATAAAACATTTCTGATTCTCAATCAGATGTTTTTACATTTGAGGTTAAAACATCTAATTGAGAATCAGAAATGTTTTATTGTCCCAAAAGCTGGGAAATTTGTTTGCTGCAGCAGAAGTGTAACAAGTAAAATGGAATCAGATTGATGTATGTACAAATTTACATGAAATACACATTTACATGATTAAATATGTATAATAAGTATGTGTGTTGAAATTAGTTTTTACAGTTATTGCACATTAAACAATGTACATGTTATTAAACAAATGTCCCTGTTTGTGGGACAACCAAGGATTTCTGATTCTGATTGTCTTGTTCACAGAAATGTAATGTACAGCTTACCTCTGCACCCAGCTGCTGTTGTTCCCTCGTCGAGCTGCATGGCAACGTTAGCTCTGCTGCCTAGCATGGCTAGCTTCACCGTGTTGTTGTCCATGTGTGCCCGGGATCGGGATGACTCGTGTTTCTTCACCTTCTCAGAAAAATGTTTCATGTCTGTAACTCCTGACTCAATCCATGCCTTATCTGTCCCAGCCGTTTTGAATAACAAACACGGAAAGCAAAATAACGCATTAGCGTGATTGCATCCAGCTAGCCAAGCCTTCCTGGTGTATCAATTTCGGGAGAAGCCTCGTCACGTGTGTACAGTTTACCTCTCTCCTTGTCCTGCTGGCTTATCTTTACGTCGGGCTGATCTGTTCCAAGCTCTTTGGTATTAAGTTTTTCCACCATAGTTCTCCTCTCGAACGGATACTGGAGAAGAGACCGAACTGAATTCAGTGGCTGCTGAGATCCGGTATCCATGCTGGTTGTAG